TTAGAAAAAGTATATTATAATGAGGTTGAATGCCAAATATGCCCTGTATAATAATTAAAATAATATTTTTTTAATTACGTTATCCTTTATTTAATGTGATGACTATAAGAATAAAAAAAAAACTCTGTGATCGATTTGAATATGTAATTTAAATTTTGAATAAAGGTGTGCTACCCACACAAAAGAGAATAAAAAGGGAAATAATCCTGAAAATGGCATAAAATTATCCAATTATTTTTCAAAATAAATAAAATTAAATTAATTTAAATATATATTTTTCAGAAGTATTTGTTAATTTTTTTACTGTTATTATTTTAATATCTTAAATAATTTGATATGCATAAGTTTTATTCGCTGTTGAAATATTAATATGCATTACATCCGTATATCTTAATCTCATGTTCCAATTTGTCTGTTGGCGAATATGAACAATAGATAAAAACTTACAGTATATGGATCGGTTTTTGATTCATACTTCTAAGGTACTTTAATATTGGTAATGTTTTACCTCACACACAGAGTGTTAACTAGTTTGTAGTATTGGAATACATCAACTTTGCTTTCCATTTCAATTTTTATTATAAAAACAAGCATTGAATTTCCAGTTTGCTTTTTGAAGTCAGTGTAAATTAGGTTAGCCTATAACTCATGTTATTCACTAGGATTTAATCATGCTGTTGAAAGGGGCCAAATCAAATTGTAAAGTGTGACGGTCGAATTTACCGGCAATTGGATGTCAGGATCCATTATATAAAATTGCGGAAATGAAGGTCTTTAAGAAACCTAGATTAATCCATGATAATGAAAACAGTGGCGCATAGATTTGTAAGAAACCTAGTTTTTATTCATAACAAATATAGTCATGATTAGCCCCTAGTTTATAAATTCATGATAATAAACAGTCATTTAAATAGTTAGCCTACTTGTTCCCTGTCCTCATTTTTTATATTAAATATATACTTTTTTAAAAATGTAAAATACAATATTTCAAGCAAATTATATATTTAAAAAAATGTATTTATATGTATTTTGTATAAAAATATATATTTTGAGTATGTATTCTAAAAAAATATTAGATAGAGTAAGAATTAAATAATTCATAATTTAATTTATATAAATTTTGTTATGGAATATATATTTTAATTATGTATTCTAAAAAAAAATTCTAATATTAATTGTATAAATTTATATATCCGTGGTATTTTTAGAATAAGAAATAGGGGCTGCTCACCCTATCAAGCAAAATGATATTTGAATATTATTAACAATTATTCCCCTATATACTATCATACCGTCTTTTTATGCTAAATGAGATGCATCAACCTCCTTAAAAACCCTCGTTCCCCCCTGAGTATAGACTCCCACCTGGCCTGTCAGTGAATTGGGTATCCATAACTCAAAAGATGTATCCACTGGTATCCCTGTCAACAATATGTTGAACTCCATTTAACCTTTCGATGTAGCTCCTTCCAACTAAATATCATTTAACAAATGATCTGTTCTGATGCCGGCAATTACCGCCATAATAAAGTTATCATCTTTTGAGTTATTGGTTTGGCAGTGAAGCCTGATGATATCCAATCAGGTCGTTTCTACCCCCTCCTAACATTTTACATTGAGCTGCTGTCATCTCTGTCTCAGTAGTACCAGTAGGCCTGTATGTATGCGCTATAGTGGAAGGCTCATTGTGATACTTTTAGTATGGTTTGTTGTTGTCATCGGCGCTGGTTTAATTCCGACTCAGCATTTTAAATACTGAAACTAAATCTTTTTTTATTAAAAAGGTCTCGCCTTAGCCAATCATCAGACAATCATTTGCTACATACAAATACAACTACACATTTCTTTAAAATACAGTATACGCAAAAAAAAAAAAAATACAGTATACGCAAAAAAAACAAAAAAAAATAATGTACCGGTAACAGCGAATTCTGTAATAAGAATTAATTGTATAAATGACTTAGCTTAGGTAGTTGCCACATGTCTGCTTAATAGGTGATAACATAATTTCTTAATTCTTAATTGATTATTGTCAATCACCCTAACAATACTCTTAATGCTTATTAATAATCAAAGCACATTTATAACGAGTGAATGAATAACCAAGGGATGGTTTTCTACATGTTGAAAGTGTTTGAGCAATTCCCAACTTCCAGTTACGTACCACACAGTCAGCTGACTAATCTATCAATGACTTTAACCGTGCATGTCAACTGTCATATTCACGTTCGTTAAAGAAGGTAATGGCGGGCGGGTGTGCTTTTCCTTTGATTTATTACGTAGAAGCTAATAACATTGGCCATGTGACTTCATACTATATCAGGCCATATGCTTCAAAAGGTTACACCTTAATTTCTAATTCATATTCTATTTTCAGATGATATCAGTATTGGTATAGTTAGAACATACATATGAGGTTTCTAAGAAACGCATATTTATATTCCAATATTCTGCCATATGTATTAAATACATTGAATCGCATACAGAGATGTTACATCAACTAACTTCCAAGTAGGGACAGAATCTAAGGAGATAATGCATATTTGATATGTCTGGTGTTTGCTAATTAAATGCAAATTATTATTTGATTGATTACAGAAACGAATCATACTAATACTCGTCATATTTCATGGCAATTAATGAGCGAGCATTATGTTGGCTCCAGCCAGATGGAATTAGGATAGAATTGGTTAAATCACATCTTCCTCTTGGATGTCCTATGTTTATTAGGAATTGAATAAATGATGCCGTTGACTTGGAAATAATTTATTGTAGAGAAGAATAACATAAGATAGATCATATTAAGAAATTCTGAGTACAAATATAGCTCTCACAGTCATTATTTTTACGTTAATGATATTGACATTGTTATGAGGCACACAGATACGGTTGATGTAAGGAGAATTTAACCACAAAACGACTGAGATAGTTGTTGTTTTTTAAGAGAAGCGGCTAATAACATTTATTGTATGTACAATATTGTTAAAGGTTATGTGATATTGAATTATTGTTTTGATAATGTTAACATCAGATCAAGTAGCTGTTAAATCTGGTTCATGTACTCTCTTAAAACATTTTACTATGCATCATCATTTGAGTGATGTTGTGTTTTATTTTATACACATAATATCTGCTTTATACCACAGTGACACTGCAGTATATTATTGCCACCTTGGTGTCATCTTCAGGAGGTGCCTAGTTATCCTGTGGTAGTCAGGAGAAGGGGAGAGGTAGAAGGATAGGGTGAAAGTTCACTGGAGCTAAAACATTCTAGAATGAGTCCATTATAGTGAAATTTTTTATATTTTTGAAAAGAAGGGATGGTTCATACTAGAGGGGATAGCTAAAACTGATTAGGCCTGCAACATTGTCACCATGTTGTCAGTGTTGGTCAATGTCCACCATTCAGGGGGTAGTGCCAGCGGGGCGAGGCCAATTAAATAAGCCTTTGAAACCCCTAAATTAAAGTTTTCGGGGGAGTCCCCTGGGCCACTTTAGAAACCTTTTAATCGAAGCTCGACCACACCCACATTGCTTTCGTTAGGGAAATCTGACCCCTCGCCGGAGGCATCAGCTCCCTCGTCGGGGACCTTGGGGCCCCCCCATCTGACAAATCCTGGCGCCACCCCGCCACCATTGTCACCATAGTGTACATCAATATTGCCCTGTTGTCACTGCTACTGGTGCCCATCACATATTGCAATTACTGTATATTCTTCTTATTGTCAATGTATAGTATTAATATTATCTATATTGTCACTAAGTCATTGTACCAGTACTGGTGCCAGTCACATTATTCATCATTAATTGTCACCTTGTTGCCAATGTATAGTAACACGACGTTTGTCAGTGTCAGGCTGTATTTGATTATTTGATTTTAAGGTCATCACAACTGATTGACTTATGTACTGATATTGATTTTTGATTGTCATAGGATTGTATTATGATTAGCTTTCCCAACTGGTTATCTGCCCATTACTGTAGCTCCTGGTAACCAGGTTGTAGTAATGGATTTGTATAGTAAAGACTCTGGCCAGTCTGTTGCACCTTTCCACACTTAATAAAACTTCTTCAGGGTTTTGTTTGTTTTGTTTCTTAAGTACCTTTTGAGCAACGTTAAAACCAAAACTGTCAATGTTGTATGTCAGACGAGACTTTTTTTATTCCTTGTTTCGCGTACTTATTTTTTTAAAGATCATCGGAGGAGGGCGGAATAAAAATAAAATTTAGTTTTCTTATTCAAAAACATTCAAAATAAAGAAAAAAAAAATTTTTTTTGGTAAATGTAAAATAAAATGGTTAAATGCTTCAAATTTATATAATCAAGAAGCAATTTACATATTTTATCTTTAAAGGTTTCAAGGCAGCGGAGGGCGTAATAAAAATAAAGAAATTATTTTACTTTTTCTGGAATTTCCACTTTCTTGTGGTGGCGGGGGTCAAAAATACAATCTTATTTTTATTCAAAATCATCAATATTTGTCGGCAGGTTCGCTAAACAAGCTATGAAAAAAAGTCTTGGCTCATGGGTACAAAAAAAAAAATTCTGTAGGAACCACATTAGGTATATTAATTGAGCCAATAGTATGAACTCAGTTACACAGGTATAATAAACCTACCCCATTCTATTTTGTTAGGGTGAGCTTATACCCAGGTAATGTACTTTTCACAATTTTATTTTCCAACACTGCATTGCCCAAAATAAGGCAATTTTTAAAAAAGAACATCTTTGTAAATCGTAGCTGAGCTACTTATTCAAACCAAATGCTGGACTTTTCCTGCCGAAACGCTGGTACTGTATGTGAAATAGGATCTAACATATGCGTGGGCTTTATTTTTATTTTGTACTTACCCAAGAACAATTATGTCCTGGTTTCAAAATGTTGTAATCAAAGAATGCTGTTCAATAGAAAGTAAAATAATTATCAACTTACAAACATTTTGAATGCTATTTTTAAATAAATTGTTTTGAATATAGTGTATGTTATTATATCTTTCAGGGTTACGAAGGGTCGTTATTAAAAGTCACAGGAAAACCTGGCAAAAACACTTCAGTAAGTAAAAGTTCATGTTTATATGTGTTGTTATTAAAGATATACAGTAGGCTGGTTTTGGCCAACTTTATTGCAGCTAATTTGCCACCGCTCCCCCCCCCCCCCCCCCCCCCCCCCCCCCCCCCCCCCCCCCCCCCACAGCCTACACCATGCAGTCTGTAGTAAAATGTGGATAACACATTTAAGTCTACACTAGTAATTACTCATCTTAAAAGGATCTAGACGTTTACAACACAAATCAGAACAATTTCATATTTAAACTTTATTTTAAACATTTAAAAAATTATTTTTTTTAGGAAATTTAGAGAAAAAAGGTATAAAAAGGATATAGGAAGTGTTATAAATGCATCTGTTTAATTAGCAAGAAAAGTATAAATTTTAATTCAGTTTATTTTTTGTAACAACTTAATTTCTTACTAAAAATAACTTACTTATATCTACAAAGTAAAGTTATCTCCTTATTGAATTGTATTTTTTTTAGATTAAGTAACAAAGATAGTATATATAATTAAATATAAATTATAATACATAGTGTAATGTTATATATATAAATATTGTATATATAGCCATATTATATTTATACAATATTATTATAGCATTTGAACATCAACTTGATCCTTACTCATCAATGATAGCCAAAATAGGTCTACATAAATTTGAATGAAGTGGAAAAAAGAAGGTAAAATAAATGAATATCGACGCAGGATTCGATAATGTGTTATGGACTTGCATTACTATTGCTATAGCATTGCACACTTACTAATAGCATTGCTAATCATGAATAATAAGGAGAATTCTTTTATATCTTTTGTAATATAATGAATACCAACGAGGGATGATTATTGCATTATGCATACATTTCCTCAGCAAGGTGTTCATAACTATTAAGATATACATCAAGTATAATCAAACGAGTGTCGGCCTTAGCCCAGTACGCAGGTTTAATGCCTTGGGCATAATTCTCTGTCCTATATCTTCCTATTTTCATGTCATAATTGCCTTTTTTGCCTGATATACTAAATATTTGCATAATTACTATGCAATCAGCAATCTTAAACACATTCTCAAAAATTTTTTACTTGTTTAGTAGACATAAACATTCGTACATTTACCCCATCACTTTTTCCAAAATATAATTGAAATCTAATTATTTCATGATTTCTGAAAATTTCAGATACAGTGTTTAGTTTTGCTTGTCTATTTTCCTTTTCTACACTATAGAGGGCAGCAGACTGATTTGGAGATTTTTTTTTAAAAGTCTGTAAAACATTTACAAAATGTTTTGTTAGTGACTAACATTTCTGAAATTCTTTTAAAGCCCGTAGGATTTGTAACATTCGAAAGCAAGTCTTGTGCGGAATCAGCAAAACAGGCTCTTCAGGTGAGTGCACGCGTGGGTGATGTATAATTACATACTGAAATATAACAATGTTACCATCTTTTTGACGTCGTGTTTTATTACACAATTATATAATGAAACGCAACAATGGCACCACCTTATTTACCTGTTTTTTACACAGTTTTATAATTTGGCCAAGTTCCTTTTTTTATTCCTCTAATTGTTTTAGCCACATTTCATCTATTGTTGGCTGCAACATAGAAATCGGTGCAGTCGCAATTCATATACAACCAAACTAAAAAAAAAAACTATTAATGAAAGGAAACTATTAAAAGCAACAATTCAAACATTTTGTTGTCTTTTCATGCATTTATAATTATGTTATTTAGCATTTTTTAAAGAAATGAAATTTAACGTAAAATTGATTAAAATTAAGAATACTGGTACTAGCACCTTTCCCTTGTGGTTATGAAGCACAAGCCAATTACCTCAATTATTTAGGAAAACAGTGGTAAGCATAAAATTGGTCATCATTCAGAAACCCCAAGACCAAATAATACAGATTACAACAATTAAACACAAAAAGAAATAAGTTCAGTGTTTATAGTGCTTCACATAAAAATGGTTTTAGTAGAAGAGCACTATAGTCATAAATTCTCCTTGTGATTGTATAAATAGCGTACTGTATAAGATGACCATATAGAAGTAGGAAAGAAAACAAAACAATCTTTGTTGAAAGTAATGGTGATATGTACTTTTTGCTTGAGGGGAATAGTCAAATGACGACAGAAAAATTATCCTGCCTGCCGTGACCTTCTTGATATGTGTGTCACAGATCAAAAACTATTTCTCAAACAAAGATTTTATGTTTATTATAAGATGGAGTTATTTTTTCCCCCAAAGATAAATTTGATTACTTCTTTTTTGACCTATGACTATTTGAACTAATTGTCATCAATTATGTGTTTATTTGTTATTTAAGACCCAATGAGGGCCGCTTTAGTTTCTCTTAATATGGTAGAAGCCTCTAGGCTTGTTGACACAGGGCAACAGATAGTTTAGTACTGATACAGATACGTGTTTTAACAGCTTTTTATTTTCAAATGCTAAATGTACGACGGTTTAGATAGCTTAAGGAAAGGTGAACAGATATTAAGCTTGTTAACGATGTTAAATCTCTTTGTTATAACCATTATAATGATTTCTAGCATGGATAAAGCAATTACCATGTTTAATTTCATTTAGGAGTTAATGTGTGCTATTAGCCCATTGTGGCCTTTAAAAACATCATTCGCATTTATTTAGCAAGTAAGTTATTACTTGAAAGTGATTTTTCTGAAGGTAAACTAATCAGTTAATCGTGACTGAACAATGTAATTATGCAATTGAGAAAAAATTCAGATTAATAATACTACAGCACAAAAAATTAGTAACACATCTTCGTATAAAAGGAAATTCCTGGGTTCGATTCTAAGTGGGAGTATTGACTGTCTTAGCGCTGACCATTCGGAATGTGCTATTCAGTAGGTGGTGCCGTTTGGATTTCTTGCGCATAGCCTACCCCATAAACAGCCTAGTTTACAGCATGTTCATTATGCTGTCATTATGTGGGATCCTACAGTAGCAGATATCCATAAGGCAGGGTGTAGCGGAATGGCCCATTTTTTCAGTCAAACTTAACAACCAATCAAGGATTAAGGTAACAGGGTGTTTACATTTAAAGTGTTCTTTAACCTTTAATAATTTATTTTGAAATTGTATTATATGCTTTTAATAACAATTTGATGTTTTTTCTTGTCTAGGGTGTTCGATTTGATCCCGACAATCCACAAACGATACGGTTAGAATTTGCCAAGTCAAATACAAAAGTCACCAAACCAAAGCAGACATCACCACTGCCAACAAACCCTACCTTGACACCACAGATGACCCCACGAGATCCATGTAAGTCTTTATCTGCTTTTTCATAATGACTTTCTCGTACATCTTTAATTTTCACTACAAAATTGACATTTCAAGCCTAATTAAATTATTCAACATTTATTTTTCCGTTTGTAAACAAACAAGGAAAAACTAATGAAATAAATAGAACTATTCAAAGTTATTAATACATAAGACTTAGAAAATGGTAAAGGGATGACAAAACACTTATGAGCCTGTCACTATTGCCCCTCTTCAAAGAAAGATAATACAACATTAAAAATGAAATAAACAGAAAGTAAATAACAGAGGAAATAAGTGTACTCATGAAGATATACACCAAGTTCATACTGTTTCTTAAACATAAACATAATTTATTCAAATCAAACATTCAAACATAATAATTCAAAATGTTACCAAAATATTTGCTACTTAAACATCATCTATTGTTATTGTTACTAATATTCTTAATATTTTATTACGTTCATTACTCAATTCTTTTGTTTTGCATTTGCCACTTGTTGGACAATTCAATTAAAGTATTGAAATATATTAAATAAACTATTATTTTATGAAAATTGCTTTGCCATTATCTAGACCTGTTATACATTTTTTAAATAACCTTCCAATATTGTATTTATCAAATCTCCAACCAAAAAAAGTTATCTAAAACTAACTTTAATTTTTTTAAAATTATTTTTTCAGATGAGATTCCTGGAGTTTTGTTACAAACAGCACCGGAAGCCTGGAACCACCATCATCCAGTGTAAGTAATATACAAATTATGAATTATCATCTTTCAAGGCTTCTGTATCAAAAATTGTATTAAAAATACATTTAGCCTCTTACTGAAAATTAAATTAAAAAACAAGAATTATTAATGAAAAAGATTTTATAACTAAAGCTTTGTTTTATACCTTAATGTTTTAGTCCCACAAACTGGTCCAACATACACGACGCTAACGTGGGATTAATGGGCCGACAACAACATCAGCAATTAAGCATGTAAATATCAATTTATCGTTTTGATCATCGTGCACTTAATTACTAAGATCATACTAAAACCTCATCCATTTCTTATTTTCAGTTTCTCTCACCAATATTTTATATTTTATCCTTCACAGCAGATGTATAATATCTATATTGTATATTACCTTTTTTAAAATTGAATTTTAAATATGCCTTTTTCAGATTGACAGCATACGCAGATCTCGCAGCTCCGGCAGCAATACACCAACAGATGTTTGCCCATCATGCAATTCACCACGCACAGGTACCAGTGGAAGGCAACCCACGAGTAGCTTACGTGTTGGTAGGTTGTGCTCTTTAGTGATGTGCAAGTAGACACAATTAATATAGTGCATTTTTGGAATTAATTTTCAGTTTGTCACTCAATGGGGATGCAGACGTTATTCCTTATTTTATTCTGACATATCACTGATTACTGTATCTTATGATTATCATTTTTTATTTGTTCTATTTATTAAATGACCCCAGCGCTATATTGACAGAACAATAATTTAATTCATTTCCACTGCACACAATTGAATTATTCCCAAAGTAAGCAGTCAACTTGGTTGCCATGACACCTTGTATTGGTCGTCATGGCAATCTGGTTGCTATGACACAGCCACTAAAATAAAATAGTTGCACTCAGTGTACTGCTGCACATGCTGCTCCATTTCCATACCAACAGCAGAGATAGCTGGAATTCTGCACAGCCAATCAGCTCATGTAATTTAGTTTGCCATCATAATTTGAATTTTTTCAATATGCGATTGATCATTTACTGACAGCAATGGTGTGGAAAAAATTGAGATAATTAGGTGATTGTTTTCATTTCTTAAAACTTTTCACCTTGATTTTCATTACTAAATTCATTCTAATCCAACTATTTGCATTTTGTTTGCCAATGCTAAAAGAACTTACTTATAAAGCTATCAAAAATTGCTGTACATTTCTTTAATACTTTATTATATTTTTCATCGATACTAATTTAATCTTGGGTAGAACAAGTACTTGATAACTTTTCTTAACATTCATTTGATAAAGTTCTTACAGTTTTTTTTTTCTCTCAACATTATTCTTCTCACAGCCACAGGCCCTAAGGCCCAGTGTTCCTTGGGCAATAACTATGCGAGGGAAGGTCGGTGAATGGGCTACGACTTCTAGCCCATGTGTATGTCCTATGAATTAACTGTGTCAGTCAATATTTAGAATCACAGTTTACAGTTGTCATGTCTAGTCTACTTTCTCTCCCTTTTCTCAAACACATTAAGAACAAGCTTCTTTATGTCCTATAGATCAATACATTAATATATAATTATTATAATAGTAATATTTATAATAATAATGGTAACAGTTAATAATTATGCCATTTATCGGTGATAAAATATTGCAAAGTGAAGTAGGGCCTATATTTTACGGTCAACATTAGAATGGCAGATATCCTTCAAATAATATGTAGCGCACAAATACCCTTTGCTTGAGGGTAGCGAAAAACACATGCCCCTGTTATTGCAAGCACCTGTAATACAAACACCAGCATGCCAACCCAATGCTGCTATAATAAGTATCTCAACACTACATAATTGACTCATTGAACACTCATTGACACTACACTGATGCTATATTGACACTCATTGACACACATTGACACTAAATTTCCACACTACATTGACACTCATTGGCACCACTACAGCACTGCTGAGTACCTTACAATACTATCTACTAATGCATCACCACCACTGACAACCATTCCACCAGAGCACCACCAACTGTCATAACACTACAAACACATCACCACTGACACAACACCACTGACACCCACCAAAACAAAACCGCCACTCGTATCACAGTATCACTGACACATTGCCACACCCACAACATGATGCTCACAATGCTGGGGCCATCACTGATGCTAAAATTAAATACATCCAATTTATTACAACCTGTTTGCAATGAAAACACAAATTTTGCAACCCTCCCTGCCTCTTTCCACATATACATAAATTTCCACTGGAGCAATATCGCAATTTAGTAATTATTTGATCTCACTTGCGTTAACATTTGATGTAGCACTTCTCACTTGGTGTACAGTCAGTAGGCGTACATGCAATATCTTTCTGTTGAACAAGTGCCAGTAATTTTGTTGTCACAAACATGCAAAGTATATATTTACTGTTCTGTAATCGTCTCTGAATTCTTACGTTCTTAGCTGATGGCACAATACTTGAATGTGTTTATAGTACAGTATATATATGTTTATATAATAATATGCTCAGTATTGCATCAGTTAGGCTTATAGAATAAACCCACCCCACTACCTCCTTAAGTGTAGGCCATATTTCAATTGTGTTTTTTACGTCCTTTTTTTTTTATGCCATATTGAAACAATATTTTTTTATTTTAAGATTATAGCTTGTTTCTGTCATTTTTATCGAGAGTGATAATTTGATAGTCATTTCTTGATCTTTAACCGACTTTGCTCAATTACAGATCGTTATAGTGATATCTTTATTATTCACACTCTGAATAATCTATGCATAAATGTATCAGAGTACATCTAAATGCAATCTCTGGTCACTGACACCACTCCTATTGTTTATGGCCATGCTCCGCTTTTTAATTCCATGTTTTGAGTTATTATATTTATGAAGATTATATTACATAATGAGACTTTTGCATACATTATACTAATTATATAAAATATATCACATTGTGCTTGCTTGTTAAAAGGTTTTAAGAAATAAAATGTTGTAAATGTTTTTTAAGAATAAAATGTCATTAAAATAATTGGCATTGGCTTAACATTTTACTAACATTTTTTATTTATGTGGTGATTTTTATTCTTATTCATGAATTTGTAATCAATTAACACCCTGTGTCATGCAAGTACTTAATATTCTTCTTCTAACCAAATTTAAGTTTATTGACTTTATATTAGGCCACTTGATCATTAATCGTCTGAATAAACTGGAGTGTTCATTTTTTTAAATTTTTTTTTGCCTCGTTTGTAACTGTGGCCTCACTGATCACCATTTTTTTTTCTTTTGGTTTTGACAGCCCCACCCCACACACCCTGCCATTGCACATCCCCATCCTCACACCCCCTTACCACAGCCTGCCCTCCCGGTCATGACGGCGATGGCTGCGCACTGTTCCACCCTCTTTATCGCAAACCTTGGAACGAGCACTACCGAACAAGAACTGAGAGATTTAATGAGCGGGTGAGTGCAACAACGTTTTCTTGCATCGATCGTCCTTCCCAGCCATCACCCAGACAAAGGAACCATGACATTCTTTTACTTTGGAATGTCTAAAAATAAACATTTAATTTAATAATTAAAATTTTCTTGATGTAATGAAACAAAATAAATTACAAATAAGTCTGGTAAGCAGCCTAACAGGGAGTATTATTTATTATGACAATAGAGGGCGGCAGTAACAGTGTATCATGCACCATCAGGCCACACTGTCATTATTTTAAGTACAGCACTGGTATTTGCCAAAGTCTTGTTTGTTTCTCACTTTCTCATCATATCTTTATTTGGAATCTGGAAAGCATTGTCGTGCTACTCAAAACAATCATATTTCATTTCTGCTTTACTCTACCCATTTCATATTAGGTGCATGCTTACTTAAAAACTTCACAGTTTGCTAACTAAAATGTCACAGAAAGTAAACCTGTATTGAACGTTCTTTTGGAATGCATTTATAACTGTTCTTGAAAGCGTTCATATTTTGAAAACATTACATGCTTTAAAAGCTAGTGCTCACCACATCCAAGATTTCAAATAATATTTATTTCAAAGCAACACAAGTGCACATGAACTAAATTCTGTAACTAAAATAATGTTGTACACAAACAGGAAAACATGTGCTGTCTAGTAGACCATTGATTGGTTACTAACCAACTGCACTCCCTACTTAGCATGTCCCAACATTATTTGGACAGGAAAATTTACGACAACCCCGCCCCCAATACCCCCTGTTGCCACTACTGACTGGCTATAGCTTCATTCCACCATACTGCAATCAACAACCAGATTTAAAAGAACACAGACCCACTACATTTAAGTTTTGAACATGGATAATGGTCCGTAGGTACTCCTGCCACAGCCATGGAGGGGATGAGGAAGTCTGAATCCACCAATCCCTCATGGTCTCCCCTTTTATTTCAAATTCTTGGATCCGCCACTGTATATGGTCTGTCTCTTATACACATCTAAAAGCAAAATACATTAACTTAAAAATCTGATAGTTTAAATTATTTGTGGTGCTGTTTGTTATTGCTAGTACCGATTATCAAATTTGATTCACTGACAATTTTAAAGGTTATTATGCAAATTGCTATTAATTTGCTATATCAAATTATAATTTAATATTACTTTAACGAAATTTATAGTTTAAAAATGGTTGATGTTTATTTTCTAAAGAAGCCAGTAGATGTGTATAAGAGACAGATTATATATAGTAAATCAAAACTCAAAATAAGTTTGTCTCAAATGGCATTGTGATGCTTGAGATGTAGATTCCAAAAAATATAAACTATATAAATAAAGTAAATATGGATTGAAATGAAACATTATTATAAACATTATTATGTATATCTATTTTGATATATTTTCATTTTCTTTTTTCCAAATCTGCTTTTCATTCAGAATATTGCCTTTGCTAGCCAAGCTTTTGCGCAATTGCAAGGTGCTGTGTTGCGGAGCAGTGATCGGGGTGGTCTTCGTGTCGAGTTTGCTAAGGCTAATATGGGAGAAGTAAGTACACAGTATATATTCATCTAAATTTTTTTTTTTGTTTATTCATCAAACAAAACAATAGCAATACAAACAATAAAAATTACAACAAACCTAAAATCAGAGATGGGATAAACAAAAGCAAACTGAATTACTGTAAAAGTTCCTCCACTTATTTAGGGAAAAATACATGAAATAAATATATCTATGTTCTATAAAGACAGCATACTACTGGAAAAATAAACAATATACTTTAGCTTCTATAATTGCAAATCTCTGAAGTATATACATTAAGAATAAATATAAAAGATTATTACTTTTTTTGACAATTCAAAAAAATATAAAATATTGATGTGAAATTTAGGCTTGGGCAAGTTGGCTCAAAATAGAGTGGGGGATAGTCTCTCTGTGTACTGCCTAATTTACTAACAAAATGAACCAAAATTACACAACAAAATTATTTTCTGATTTTTAAATTGTGTATTTTTCTATCTTTTCAGCCGAAGAGATTGGAGGTAGCCATACGCCAGTCACCAGGACAACCGCAAGTTCTATTCCAGTAATTCATTGTGTTGCTATGGCAATTGTAAATAGCCCTAGCTTGTTGAAAGTACTTGAAATCTATGCCATTGTTAATTGCCACTGATGGTTCACCAACAAGTTGTGTTATCTACACCTTTTCTCATGCCTGACTATCCATCCTGGAGATGGCCGGCACATTTTTATATCTTGTTACTGTGTTAATACGAGCCACCTTTTGGCAAGCTGATCGCCGTCCAATATAGAACAGAGTTTAAATTTAAGACAATTTTTGACAACTTGTGAAGTTTGTATGTGAGACTGCTTAATAAGATGACATTGTCTGGTACAGAGTACTGGATTGTCTTTTAGCCAGTTATAGCCTAACTGGTGTACCAATTGTAAAAGCAATTGTGATTGGTCTACCATTTATAACATTGGTTTACTTATTGTCACCGCAATTGTAATTTGTTTAGAGATTTTAGCGCAGCAATTGTAACTGATTTACAAATTCCAACTGGTTGTTACCAATAGCAACTAGTTGAAACTTGCTTTAACCAGTTGCAACTTGTTGTAACTGGTTTTGACAACTGCAACTAGTTGTAATTGGTTTAACTATTGCAACTAGCTATATCTTGTTAATCATTTGCAACTAGTTATAACTGTTTTTTCCCAGTTGCAACTAGTGTAACTGGTGTGGTTAATCAGTTGGCTCTAGATTCAACTTGTTTGGTACAATGCAATTATTAAAATTTATGCTTGGTAATCCAGTGGCCAAGTGCTAATTAATGTTGAAATGCATTAAAAATTAAATCATATTTCGAATTGAATTCAAAGCGATAGTTTTGTTTTTAGGGTAAGAGTACATTTTTGCCCCAAGAGGTAGATAGGTTTGTGTGCTATTAAAATATCTCTGTATATTTAGTAGAAAATTCAAAGAAAAATGTTTGTACCTGCAATTATTTCTCGGCAGTGTTGATTTTTTTAATTCTTGCTCAAGAGACTAGCATAATGGGTTAGATGTGCCAGTGCAATTTAATTTTATATTGCCTTTTTTTTTTTACTGTAGCGGCTGTTGCATATATACTTTCAACAGGCTTTCACTTGCCAGAGCTATCAAAAAAAATATTTCAAAGAAAAGCAAAATACATTAACTTAAAAATCTGATAGTTTAAATTATTTGTGGTGCTGTTTGTTATTGCTAGTACCGATTATCAAATTTGATTCACTGACAATTTTAAAGGTTATTATGCAAATTGCTATTAATTTGCTATATCAAATTATAATTTAATATTACTTTAACGAAATTTATAGTTTAAAAATGGTTGATGTTTATTTTCTAAAGAAGCCAGTTTTATTCCAACGAATAAATTTCTTTATTTCAAATTTGATTATTATATTATGTAAGAGTATCAGGTAGTTGTAGGATAACGTGTATGTTGTTGAGATAAAGGGGTTATGGGTATATTCTGGTGATGGCCAATGTGATATAGCTTTATAACAGGGCTGGTGTTCCTAAACAGAGTTTGCAGTACAATAATCGTAGATTCCAAATTATTATACCAAATACGAAGAATTTCTGCAACAAATTTGATACAGGAGAAAAGAATACTGTACTCCAGTTCGACATCACCTTTTATCTTCAAGGATATAATATCTTCTTTATTTTACCGCTTGCTTTTTTTTGCAGTTTGATATTATTTTGGCGCATATCAACTGCTAGCAAAGCAAGGCAACTTGGATTCAATTTTGCTAGGAATTCACTTTTACCGGGAAAGATTTGTCATTTAAATGTTACTTAATGTACCTCATTTGTTACCAGGGTAAAAAAGTTTATTGTGTTTATAGGTTTAACGAAAAATACTATATTTCTATTCATGTAAATGAATTATAAATGAGGTTGATGTTCAGCCGTTAATTCAAGGCAAAGTTATTCAAAGCAAATTTAAAATCAATTAACAGGAGGAAAATATTTAATTTTTTAAATAAAAATGTACTATGTATATACACTATAGTAATTTTGGTGTAGTGGTGTTAAGTGAAGTTTATTTATTGTAATTTGCTAGAATATTCTTTTTTAAATTTTAATATGTTGTCTTTTATTTTCTCTTGTTTTCTTACACACCAAATGTTTGTGTTTAATTAAACGAGTGAAATGAGAACATAATATATTGTAGAAATGACAATTTGTGTTCTATTTTGAAGGTGGATTTACATGTCTAGTTATTTGTACTATGTCCAAGAGACCAAAAATGTTAAAAGCTTGGAATTGAGTGGTTTTGTGCTATTTTTGATTCAAGTTTAAAGTATGCAATGTAGAAAAAAAACAAAAAAAACATGGGCTCTAACAATTTGGTAGAGGAGTGTTGTGTGCTAATTAAGTTGGTGTCGTTCCCATGAAAACCATACCTGGGAGCAAGTTCTGATTTAATTCAACTTGCTGAGACAATGGCGCCCTCTATACTTTATAGCACTTCAGAGTGTGCCTATGTGTAAAATGGTAGCTTAATAGTAATTTAGAGGTTACATACAAATACGTTCCTTGGTTTATTTTCATTAGGCTGAATTAAACTTCGAAAATATAGGTTATAAGGGAAAACATTTTTTCTTCAAAATGGACTGTAACTAATACAAGGTTTATTGACAGATGGGAGTTGTGTTTTCACTGCATTTCCATTGCTAGTCCATAATTGTGTGTCAATTTTACAGTTCTCTATTTTAATAAAGTTGGACTAAGTGAAAGCGATGCGACTCTTTCTGATTATTGAAGACTGGATGAAATAAGGTTATTGAAGATCAAATCAAATATCGTAACATTTATTAATACATTGCTCCCAGCCCACTCAATTCACAAAGGCAAGCTCAGTATTGCAAATAATTCTATTCTATCCATGGAGTGAAAACATATTCTTCCTAGATTCCTCAAACAGAAATTATTTATTTGTTTCATATCTACTAACAGACAGGATGCAAACATTTTACTTTTCGATGACTTAAACTAGCTACAGTTGTGGCTCCAGGAATTTTGCAACAGGGGATCCTAACCAATGGGAGGGAGAGGGGGAAGGGGAGATACAAATCTTGGGGAGATTTTATAGCTTAGCATGTCCCAACATTATTTGGACAGGAAAATTTACGACAACCCCGCCCCCAATACCCCCTGTTGCCACTACTGACTGGCTATAGCTTCATTCCACCATACTGCAATCAACAACCAGATTTAAAAGAACACAGACCCACTACATTTAAGTTTTGAACATGGATAATGGTCCGTAGGTACTCCTGCCACAGCCATGGAGGGGATGAGGAAGTCTGAATCCACCAATCCCTCATGGTCTCCCCTTTTATTTCAAATTCTTGGATCCGCCACTGTATATGGTTGCTGGCTGTTTCTACAATATCCTCATACATTTGTTTGTATCATCACCATGGATACAATAGAAATTTATGTATTTACTTCATCCTAGCCTTATTAGGCAATGCAGCTAGTAATCAAATATTAATAAATCAAAACTTCCTCAAATTTGAGCATGTTTGTTTACAACCATCATGCAATCCATAAAACATTTCTAAATTCATTAATCCTTCTTTCAACAAGGAATACCAATGTATTTTTTTTTAATTCAAAGAATGACTAACAATTCATTTAATTTTAATAAAAAATACTGAAAATATATTTCCTCATTACAGCCTGTGATAAAACAAATAATATAGAAAACAAACTATATTGTATTTTTACAACATTGAACAAAAAAATCCAGCGGTTTGAATTTGGTCAATAACTGTTACGTCTTTAATGAACAAAACAACTATTTTCACTTAATAGATATTAACAATAAATGCATAATTTACTATATACAACTCAATAATTGCAAATTTAAAGCCTCTAAGATGATTGATTTTCATGGTTAAGATATCAAAATAACTGTTCTTGCTAGCTCTGAATTAAAACTTTTAACAACAATAAACAATTAACACATATCATGCATAGAGTTTGTAAAAATAAAATGTTTGATAAAATGCAAAAGCTCAGCCTTTTTACATTTGTAATTTGAATATTCCATAATACTGCCGTAGTAATCAACAGATTGTGGAGCGTGTGGAAAGTGCTTTGCCCTAGGAAGCAAAGAAAATTCGGCATCCTCCCAACCTCAACATTCGAGAGTCTAATTAGCAAACCACTGCACAAACTGCATCCATGCTTACCAAAAATACAATTATTTCTCAAAAAAAAAATTAAAAAAAAATTAATTACCTTACTAACAGATTCACAACACCTAATGACTCGCACCTAAATACAAGGTAACCGCCGGCCTCAGACCTTGTCATGAATTATATAATTCAAATATTCCACAACGATATAACATGGTTCTTTATAGTAGTCCACTGGTGGCGGTTATCTCCCAATTATAAAGCAAAACTGATAGAAACAAATTAGGAATAGTATAGAAAAAATCTTTACTCATCCTGGCAAAGCTTAAACATCTTGCAACAATTGTTAACATCTAAGACAACACAGTCACTTCAAATCTTTACAATTTAACACCAGCAAAACGAACAATTAAGTAACAAAGTCTTCTGATGAAGAAAAAGTGTTACTTACGAAAAGGAAAGATAAGGTGTAAACACCTCTCCCTTCCCTAAATCACACATTTATCTTATGTGAAGCATTATCTAAATGTAGCACAAATCTATCCTTCAACTTTATTTGCAAATTTGTTGCTATACGTACTTCATTTAGAGGTCAGTGCATCAACATCAGCACGCCTACTAAATTACCCATAAGGTACTAGTAGGAGTATCCATCATTAACAGAGTTTTTACATCTGCTTCGCTGAGCATCATTACTCTACAATCATTACATGAAAAATAAATTCATTCAGTGATACAAAAAAAATTGGAGGGTATGATTGCTACCTTACATATAAAATATCAATGTTTTTAATCAACCAACTTTTTATTCTAAGAAAACGCATGGACACAAGAAGTAAACCACAGAATTTTAGTCATTTTTAAAAGACCTAAATAAGTAACAAGAGATGAAATTTAAGTATAATCTTGTTGTTTTTAATATTAATATTGACCACTAAGTAAACAAAATTTCTTAAAACTTATCCATTTGCACAAAAAAATAATTAATTTCTCCGCCCATCTTCAGTTGAACATTGATAAAGAACTTTATACAATGTAATTATAATCATTAACTAATAATTAATTATTTTGGTCTCAAAACCTTAAAATTAAGGTTAGATTAATAGTTTAAAATCATAATGATTATTTTTAATCACGTCATTCAAACGCACCAAAATTGTTGCTAACATAGAAAAGTTTATACAGAGGCACAGAAACTCATCAGCATTTGCTATTAATGTCTCACCAAATTTAAACTCCATTTCATTAAATTTAGTCATAAAATTAGGTAAAAATTCCCTTTAAAAATTGAGAACCTTAGTTAACATATTTCCATGGCAACTGATGATAAATTTAAATCAATGAATCATATACCAAAATACAGAAGGATTTGTTAACTAAAATTTGAATTGTTCTTATCTTACTTAAGTATATACAGAGAGGGTGGTATAATTCTAGTCTACATCTTGGCCATATTTTGTGAATGATACATGCCTCCAAATAGCCCCCTCAACATGTGTGCCTTCAAAGAGTGCCCTCAACATTTGCCAATTACTGTATAATTATGTTGAGAGCACCTTCAATTTTTACATGTTCCAGAATAG